GTACGCATAAACAGCAAGACAGTTTTTGTACAAGGAGACAAACACTGCAGAATCCAGTATTCAATCCAGTATTTCTTGCTCATGGAAATAGAAATGTTTTAAAGTCCACTGGACACATAGCATTTAAGAAAAGTTTGGACTTATGAAAATTGAGTGAATAAAAAAAGTTCCCCTGTACTTTGAAGCCTATGTTCTCTGAGGACTCTTAAGGAAGGGAAGAAGGATGGGTTGGAAGATCCACACTGACTATAATATCTCAAAGAAACACAGTTTCTAGAGATTAACTAACCATTCTTTCTTTGTGTATGTGTCATCGTGGATTCCACTGTAGATGGCTGGCACAGAGCATCGTCTTCAGGATGGCAGGCATGAAGAGCACCAGATACATTAGTCAAACCAGGATGGGAGTACTGCTCTTCTGAACCTGGTATTGGATCTACTAGCCAAGTGCAGTGCACAGTGCTCTACATATGTGAGCAGACTGCTCCACCTAGCAGAGTTCAGATACTGGAACTTTTCTGAAACAGGCCAAGGATGTTGCTTGAACCTCTGACAGAGTTAGCCTTGATAGTGGGGGAGGTATATTTGACAGCTGGCAGCACAGATCAGACACAGTCTAAGTTCCATCTTGCTGCCACACTTGGTAAGAGGGAATTATGGGAGGGTTGTGGCTGCTGTGCCCTTTATGTTCTTGTACAGGAGCACAAGGAAGCACAGGACACATGTGCAGCCCCAATGGACATTGCTACTGAAAACAATTCCAAAGAAGGTGGAGATTGCTCGTGCAGTAGGGCTGGATACTATCTGGAAGGGGAGACTGGAGAAATACAGTGCCACTCTCTCCTAGACTCCAATGCCCAGGTATCCATTGTACATACCACTGAGACCGAGAGGAATCATCAACCCTATAAATTAGCTGTCAGGGTGGATAACAGAATGATGCTTCAAGTTCTGGGAATGTGGCACACAGTCATCAACCTCCAGGCTTTACAACTAACCTGTGAATTCCTCTTGGTAAAAGATGGCACTCAGTATGCCTGATTGGGACGGACTTCCTGAAGAAATACCATGTTGCTGTGAATTTCACCAACTGTTCCTGTTCTCTGTTGGGAAGGTGATTTCCCCTCTTCACTACAGACGGCCATGTGGAAGTGCATGGAGAGGTGGTAGAAGAAAATCTGATGGAGCCTCTAAAATTGAGATGATTATCCCAGGCAGATCAAAGGTGGGTGCCAAGATGATGAAGGTGGTCTGATTGAGCCCTAACCTTCAAATAGGCTGGAGCTCCTCACTGGACACTCGATTGGTAGGAGCTGATGTGGCAAATCCTGGTATGGATAGCCAACATGTCAACAAAGCCCATTGGTCGTGTATCAGCATAGGGTGATTGGCACACTTGAGAGGGGTGTGCTGGTCCTGCAGAAAGATCACAAAACCAAGAACCCAGTTGATGTGAGGAAGTTCAAACCAGACCAGGGTCAAGGCAACAAAGGGCTGGGAAGAAAGGCTCAGAGAGATGCAGGACTTGAGTTCAAGTTTAAACAATACAGTCTGAAGCTTGAACAGATGTGAACAGTACAGGAAGTTTTGTTAGAATATGCAAATATATTTAGTCATGGTGACCCATCATCTGGGATGCACTGTGTTAATAAAGTATTGGATCAGTTCTGGGAATGCCAGACGTATCAGTCAAAGACTTGGAAGGATCCCCATTCATTTTCAGCAGGAGTTCAAGCAATGGCTCACAAGAAATGGAGGAGAGTGGGCTCATTAGGCCCTCTGTGAGCCTGTAGGCTGCTCCAGTGATTTTGGTGTGGAAGAAACATGGATGTGTGTGGGACTGCAGGGATTATCATAAACTGAATTATGCAACTGTTAATAATGCCTATCCCTTGCGCCACACTGACAACACATTAGATGGCCTGGTTAAAGACTGATGGTTCTCCACCCTTGACCTGGCAAGTGGGGTTTGGCCACTGTAGGTGTATCCAGAAGATAACGCTAAAACAGCATTGTGCACCAAGCAGGGACTTTTTGAGCTCAACATGCTGCCATTTGGTCTGTGTAATGTGCTAGGTACATTCCAGAGGCTCATGGATATCGTGTCAGCAGACTTGCAGAAAACATCCTACCTAGTGTACCAGGATGAGATCATTGTGATAGGCTGAATTTTGGAAGAACATCTGCAGAAACTGAAATCAGTACTCAAGAAGTTGAAAGGTGCCAATCTGAAAGTTAACGACACTAAGTGTCAGCTTTTTCTTTAGCGATGTGACATATTGGGGCACATGATCTCTATGGAGGGAGCAGGCCCAGATCCAGAGAAGGTGGATATGTCAGAGCATGGCCTGTATCTTGGTATGTAACCAAAGTGCACAGTTTGCTACGTCTGGCCTCCTACTACAAAAGATCCGTAGCAGAATTTGCTGTCTTGGCCAGCCCCTTACACAAAAGCCCCACCAGATTTGAAGTTCTCTGGAAATGTGGAAGACAACGGGAGAAGATTTAACTGACACTATATCTGCGAAAAGGGAATAGCAGGTTGGACATCGCTGGATTCCATTTCGCTGCCACAGATGGTAAGAGGAAACTATGGAAAGGATGCGGCTGGTCCAGCTTTTATGCCCTCACATGGGAGCACAAGGAGGCACAGGCTGCATGAACGGTCCCAAGGGATGCTGCTATTCAAAAGACGACAATCTCATGAGCATGGGATGCATGCACAACTACACTGGGATTTACATTGACATAAAGTAGAATCTTGGGTTCCATTCCAAGCTCCAGAGGAGAATGTGCTGTAACAGGCAGACTCTTCTGCCCATTTCCCCACGCATGATCCATTCTGACCCATCCCCTCCAATCTGTCCCTGTCCCAGTCCTGTCTCTTCCCTACCTCTGGCTCCTTATCCAGTCCCACTATCCTTACCTAGCCAGTCCCAGTCTCCACTGCTCAGGCTTCTCATTCCAGTCCCAGTCTCCTTGCCCATCCATTTCCAGTTCCTCCCTATCCCCAACTCCTTGTCCCCAGTCTCTTTGTCCATCCAGGCCCAGACCCGCCTGTCCCCCATGGCTCCTCATCTGAACTGCCTCCATCCTGGTCTCTAGTGGTCCATCCATGCTCCCTGTGCCCACTGGCTCCAAATGGCACTCTCTCTCCCCCCAGGCTGCTCATCTAACTTTGGTGCCTCCCCCACAAGTCTCTTGTCTCAGTCTTACTGCCCAGTCAATCCCAGTCAGGTCCCCTGGCTCTTCATCCAGTCTCTTTCTCCTGGCTGTCTACTGGCTCCCAGACACTCGTTCCTCCAGAGTAGTCTTGCCCAGCTAGTCCCAGTCTCTGGCTCATTCTGTCCCAGTCTCCCCTGGACCCCAGTCCCAGCCTCCTTGCTCAGCCAGTCCCAGTTTCCCTCTCTTCCACAACCAGCTTGCAGTCCCAGTTTCCACCCCACATGCTCCTTTTCCCAATCTACTCTCACTGCCACCCCTTCTCAGGGCTGGCTTTTCTTCCCTCTGCATTCAAATCAGGCAGCTTCTTCATCCATGCTGCTTGAGCCCAGCAAGACAGTCACTGAGAGCAGAGGAGAAAGAGATTCCTTGCTCTCAGTTCTGGTCCCACACACAGCATACCCTGTAGTAGGCCAGAACAGCAATTGCAGGGGGAGTTCTGTTCAGCCCTGGGTTGCAGCATGCCCACTGCAAACAGAATCTTTGGAAAATGTAGCTACTAACATCTAAAATGTCTCTACTGAGCGTGTGTGAAATGTAATTTTTCAAAGGATTATAACTTGGCCAAATTTTGGCAGATGTTCACTGGAATGGCAAAAGGCATATCCCTGAGACAAAGGCTACCCCTGCGAAATTTCAAGTCTGTGCTCCAAAGAATGGGGGCACTAGGGCATTTCGCCAGAAAGATAGCCAGAATTTTTTCAGATGGACAAAACAGTGTATAATAGCTGAACTGTTCTACTTGAAACTTTTCAGACTAATTTAGCCAAAGGCGGACACCCAACACACAAAATTTCAGCCCAAATGGTTAAAGTTTGGCAAAGTGATAAGAAACTGAAAACAGGGTCTTATAATTGGAAGAGTTGGGCAATCTTAATAAGAGGCAGTACTACCAGCCCTGCCTAGAATAGGATAGTTGAGTAGTATGTGCAAGAGAGAAGGAAAACAAGCAGCAAGGCAGTATGTGCAGTGGGTCACTGGGAGAAGGCGTAGGAAGAGAGGAAAACCATGTTGTGCTGGAAGGCACTGAAAGAGTTAACTTTGGAAGAGTTGCTACACCTGGAAATAAAGTTGATTCTGCTGTGCCGCTTTTAAATTATCAATAAATAAATCTTTGCTGATTCCACACATGCTTCTGTGTGCTCCTTGCTCCTAAATGCACTCACAACACAACACAACACAGATGGAAGAGGAAGATATCTGGAGAAGGGGACCATGTAGCACTAACTGAGACAAGGTTACTCTTATTTCCCTCCTGAAAGGGAAAGAACACATCTCATTAAACACAGTAAAAACACATCACTTCTTTTCCACAAGTAATTGTTGTAGTTGCCACAGGTAGTGCTATTGCAAGTAGGATTATAATTGGAAGGGGACGTGGCCAATAACTTGAGTCTTTTTTTATGAAAAAACTTTATTGCAAAGTTAGATAACTCTTTCTATGGCTAGGATTTAAACTTACCCATAAAACTAAAGGTTAAAAAATATGACAGAATACTGTAGATGTAATTGTTATGTAGGTCCAACTAAAACAGTTGCAGAAATATACCTGTATTAATTTCAAGGCAAAAGTTCTATCTGAAAATATTTAAACTATGTGAATTCATCTCCTATTTTCTCCCTAGAATTATTTCAAATGACACTACAAGGAACAAGCTTTTAACCACTGACAATTTCTCTCATCCACTTACAAAACTGAAGCCAGTAAGGTGTCATTAGAGATGTGTATTTAACCACACATCCTGCCAGGTATGGAAATTCCAATTAATAAAACTTACATAGCTCCATTTGTGTAGACCGTGTCACTTCCCTCCACATACTGCACCTGTGCTGGGTAGACATGCTGTACCTGCTGCACGGTCTGCACCTGCTGTACCTGTAAAAACAAACAAAAACAAAAAACCACCAGGCACTTTATGGGACATGGTATTTTGCAAAAAGTATGTCCAGTGCTAAAGTGGTTCTAATGGTTACTAAGCAATATGAAATAGTTGGGGCACATGAATGTTCTAACAGTTATTAAACAATAGAGAATGCGACAGCTGTGGGATAAGACTGCAATTACCACATTACAGTACTGACATCTCAGAGCCATACTCTTGGGAGTGCATGTACTCTCAGTGACAAAGTCAGAACCACCTGGAAAACACTCGACTACATATTTACTCCTTCACAACAGAAGCCTCCTGGAACTCACTCCAGTTCCTTTCTATTTAAATCATAATCTACCCTAAAAAGAACTGGGGAAGGTGGATGAGAAGTGTGGATCGATGCTGTTCATCTATTCTAAGAATTACATTTTCTAGGTAAGTAAGTTTCCTTTGGCCTTGTCTACCCTGGATTTTTGCTCCAGTGCAGCTATACCGACGTAGCTGAGCTGGTATAAATCCCTAGTATAGATGTGATGCACTGGTGTAAAAACTGGGCTTGCATTAGTGTGATATACCGGAGTTTCTAATTGGGGTAAGCTGCATCACTTTTTAAGTGAATGCTGTGAAACTGGTGTAACTATATCAAAACCCTCAGTATAGATAAAGCCTTTCTCTGAGTATTGAAAGCAGAGTTTCCCCACTTAAACCCACCTTTGCACTCTGCTGCCCCAGGTATCACCTACTTCAGTAGGCACAGAACACAATTCCACCCTATTTCTGGAAGCCAAGTCAAAAAAGTAATGTTGCATAAATTTATGAATTGAACTTCAGATAGAAACCTTCCCTATCTCAGTGACAGAAATATTTCTTAGACATGCTGTTGTCAGGCAGCCTTGGACCTGGTAGAATATGCCTTAAGGCCTCCCAGCACTCCAATACCCCTCTAGCATGGTTCTCATTTCATTCTGTGGCTCATCAGGAAGGACTCTTTGAGAACTTCTCAATTAGAACATCTCTATCATCCTGACTACCTCTGCAAAATTCTGACTATAACAGATTTTTTTCTACTCTCTCTTTTCCGGTACTGACTCATTCATTTAGAAAAGAGATTTTGTGACAGATTTATAGAAACTCTTCCCTATATTGACTATAAAGCTTAGATTCTGAGAACAATCCCACACTTTAATACTGTTGCTAAAGTTCGATAGAAAAATGGAGGTTTTTGAAATGATCCTTTTTGAAGATTAGATTAATTAGTGTTTACCACCAGAAGTTTTGTGAAATATTTCCATTGTGAACCATTTATACAAAGACAATCCTGCTCTTGCACAGCCTGCTCTTTTGGAAAGAGTACCTGACCTGTTATTTTTCAAAAAATCTTAATCAAGTGGTAAAGATGATTTCTTAACAGTACGACAGGATACGACTGCATACGTTTCCTCTCCAACCAATCTCTGGCTTTATAAAAGGGAGACTCAGTAAAGAAATGAAATCACGAGACCACTATTTAATCCAGAAGCTCTTCTTATTACTTGACTTCAAAGCAGATTTTGTGCATGAAAAGAGGTCATATAAATTATTGCATCACACAAAAATCTTTGTTCAACAGTAATCAAACCTAGTGATGTTTTCATCCTCCTTGAATTCCTGTGCCCTCTATTTTATCCTAAATTGTAAGCCCAAATCATAATTGCTCTACAAGCGCTGGTGGAATCTGATCCAAAGCCCACTGAAGTCTATGAGAATAATTTCAACAAGCTTTGGGTCAGTCCTGAAAGCACACTTTTCCACCTTCAAATGTGTGTTTTGTTGTGTTTCACACGATAAGTGACAGAAGATTATCATAATTTTCAAGAATAAAGTCTGTTTTTAAGGATTTTTTTTTCTCCTGTGTGTATCATATAAACAAGTTCTGCAATCTGAGATTTAAGAAGAGAAACACAAGTTCCATAGTTTCATCCATATTTTAAATAAAAAAAATTATAGCAGGATAAATAGTCAGGACTTTTTAAAAAAAATTATACATTCTTGAACTCCTACAGCTTGTTTATTAATTCAATATGCTGATGCATAAAAATCCTTGCAGCAGTACAAATAAAAAGCAACTGATAATGCTCCATCCACTCTGCCACCTTGCCAGAGACCATGCTTCAGAGTAAAGGTGGGAGGATGTATGTTGACTTATTTAAAAAAAAAACAATGAAACCCTGTTAGGAGTTAAAAATGTTGTAACTAGAAGGTTCCATGGCAGTTGGAAATGACAGTTGAGTGACATCCTGAGTCTGAAAATCAGTTTTTCAGAGTTATAAGCTCACAATGAAGCCTTCAGAAAATAAAAGGTTATTTGCTAGGTCAATATTAGAGACTTGATGCTACTATAGAAACACATACACACACCCCCTGGTAGAACTTCATATATACTGTATAATTCTTTGAAAAGAAAATTTAAAAGATCAGGTAACTCCCAAACAGCTTTTGTTTTTGAAGTTTAAGAAAAACTTCCTTCAAAACTGAATTTAGAGCCGGGTCCAATATATTTTTAGGGAAAAACCACGACTCCCTATAACCCAGATACTAAAATGGTCTCTTTATGGTGACGAGTGAGAAATAATATAGCTAAAAAGCCCTTGTGATGGCCTTTGTTTAGGAAAATTTTGTCTTGAAGAAAACCACTTTAAAGAAGTGTTAACAATAAAACTTGTTAAATCACTAAGCTAGATCCTATTTTAAATTATATTTATAAGGAAAAAGAAAAGGAGTACTTGTGGCACCTTAGAGACTAACCAATTTATTTGAGCATAAGCTTTCGTAAGCTACAGCTCACTTGAAAGCTTATGCTCAAATAAATTGGTTAGTCTCTAAGGTGCCACAAGTACTCCTTTTCTTTTTGCGAATACAGACTAACACGGCTGTTACTCTGAAACCTATTTATAAGGAAGTATCTGACTTTTTAAGTTAGAAAAAGTTCATTCACTACCAAAGCCAAATCTGTGTTAAACCTCTTGAGAAAGGGCACATCTTCTTAAGGTTCATTTTCACTGCACGCTTCTTTCAGCTGTGTGTAGAATGCATACGTATCTAGCCCCCTTGTGTGGGTATAAACAGCAGTGTAGCCAGGGAGACACCTATTAGATGGGTGGAGTAAAGACACTCCTGAAGGGTGCGAGTATATATGCAAGTACATATCCTATATACTCACTACTTGCCCAAGCCTGTCTACACAGCTGTATTTTGCAGTGTAGTGTCCTGCTGCCTCCCTGCTGCTGGAACCTTGCCCCTCTACAGGAAAAGACTCTCCCAACAGGGAAAGGCTCTGTCATCTCCCTACTGTTGGAGTCTTCCCCCTCTAAGGAACCTCCCCTCCTCCCCGCTGTCAGAGGCTTTCCTCACCATAGTGAAAGGCTCCGGCAGTAGGGAGCTACTGAAGCTTTCCCCCTCTGCCAGAGCCTTTCACTAACACATGATGTAGTTACAGTGTGGGCACAGTAGGATTTTCATTGTGGCCTGTAGCTACATATATCCTACACACAGCCACCAGTGAGGTGTAGTGCAGACATAGCCTTAGACTGAGTAGGGCACATCTCTCTATTTAGGGATGGGAGGTCAAGGAGAACAGATATCTCCTCAAAGATATAGGGGCCCAATACATTTAGGAGAATTTGGCCTGAGGAAAAACTCATCACCATTTTCAGTGTAAGACTGTAGCACTATGGAAATTTTTTTTCTGTCCCTTCTTCTGTTTTATATGTCATTTTTGCCTGACAACTTTTATTTAAATGTTTAACAAAAAATTTACAGTGTGATCTGTTGGCTTGTGAAGTAGAACAGTGATTGGGAGGCTCAGAGAGAGTGTCCACCAGAGGCTCTTTAAATCTCAAACTGTCTGATTGGTCTCCCTGCCTGTGTGACAGTGTAAGAGCAACCAGCTATTAAGGCGAAATTACACAAGATACTGAAACATTTATGACATTCTGATGGTGTTCAAGCTCTAAAACTGGTATTATTAGGGATGGGGGAAGCATAGTCAGGGGAACTTTTGGAACTGTCTTGCCAGAAGACAGGAAATAAACTGACTGGCACAGGAAGCAAATGGGGTTAACAAGGACCTACTGGACCTACTAGTAGATTTCTTTGACTCTTCTTGTTTGGTTGTTTCCAGCCTGGAGTAATTGGAAGAGGAGAAGGAGTAAGCAATCAGCGTGTCCCCAATAGAATGAGAGGCAGAATGAATGCTTATTTTGATGTAGCTTTTTAGTGATTATTTTTATTATTATTTGCAGAAGAAAACAATACCAAAACAAATTACATGCTTGAGTAACATATGCTGCCCGAGAGGAACAAATGGAGCACTAATTTATACAGTATGTGGATGCAAATGTTTGTCAACAAAAATAAAGCGAATAAAAATATTCAATTTAAAAACAGAAACCATCTTGAACCACAAAAGTGAAATGTTGCACAACAGGGAACTTTAAATTTCAAATTAAATGTATTTGTATTAAAACCACTAAGAAGGAAACATTAGAAAAATAAATAGGGTAAAATAAACTGGGTGACTGGGCAACAAAATGGCAGATGAAATTCCAGGCTGATAAATGCAAAATAATGCACATTGGGAAACACAATCCATATGAAATGATGGGGTCTAAATTAGCTGTTACCACTCAAGAAAGAGATCTTGCAGTCACTGAGTCTGAAAACATCCACTCAATGTGCAGTGGCAGTCAAAAAAGCTAACAATGTTGGGAATCATTAAGAAAGGGATAGATAATAAGACAGAAAATATATTGCCTCTATATAAATCCATGGTACGCCCACATCTTGAATACGGCATGCAGATGTGGTCGTCCCATCTCAAAAAAGATACATTGGAATTGGGAAAGGTTCAGAAAAGGGCAACAAAATTATTAGGGGTATGGAACGGCTGCCGGATGAGGAGAAATTAATAAAACTGGGACTTTTCAGCTTGGAAAAAGAGACGACTAAGGGGGGGGATATGATTGGG